GTTAACTAAATATATGATTTGTAAGTTAAATATTTAGTTTATAACTATGACATTTATAAATGTATGAATCATATGGTGAAAAACTGACTTTGAAAAATAAATCTGTTCTTTTTTTCCTAATAAAAGGCTAAATAAAGCAAAAATATTGGTGGTAATTTTTGACTGTGTAACTTTACAAACGGCATCCCATATATTTTACTCTTAATATTCCCACTCATACTAAGAATATTTGGTGTTTATCCAGCGATGAATCGTGTAACTCCCTGTACCTGTTTGTTAGCAAAATGTCACCACTGGAGTCAACCTGATCCTACATGGCTGCCACAACAAATCAACTCTCAAACACAGAAAAGGCTACAACTCAGTCAAATGTACAGATTATGTGCTACAGTGTGGTGTGGTAGCTGAGTTATCCCCAACACATGGCCTGAGCGCTGGTGGATCATACAAGGCTTTGTTTAAAACTTTAGCTCCCAAGGTGGCAGACAGATGTGTTCCTTCAAAAATAATTCTACCCTAAAGATAAAAGTAAATACAAGAACAGTCATGTCTTCAAAGACAAAACAGGGAGCCGGCAAGAATCAAACTACTGAAGAAACACATATTTTACTTTGTTTCCCCAGCATCAAAATGTCCTGACGTCTTCTCCACATGACTTAAATATGCTATTATTTGAAAAACATATTTCCTTTTATCATGGTAACTTACTAGAATGGCTCCTCAGAGAGCAAGTTCAACGTTTGAGTATAAAAACAGAGTGCAATGTGAAATAAAGTCCAGCAGAGGGGAGCACAGGATAAACAGCAATCTAGTTTCTGCTCCAAATGGGACATGGGTCTGCAACCTTTACAACTAAGAGACTTTTAATGTTCTTTTCCCACTAAATAAATGTTCAGCTGCAAGTTAAATTACTGAAGTGTAAAACTGACCAACAATCTATTACCGTAAACTGATTGTTTATTATTCTGTTTACAACTTTATTCACACATGGCAGAAAACTGGACATGACAACTGCTGAGAACTTTTCTTGATTATAAAAACAAAWATATGGTCAAAACTCCAAAGAGCCGCTGCAGAGGAACCCAAGAGCTCCAGAGCCGCAGGTTGCAGACCCCTGTCCCAGGGGCACAGAGTAATTCTTTTAGCTTTTATATATTTTTTTCTTTTCAAGGAAGTATTAATTGTAGAAAAACAAGACGACCAAATAAATAAAGACAAAGTAAAACAGTCCAATATGAAGAACTTTTTTCCTTTAAAACCCACAACCCACTCTTTTACAATCATCCCATCAATCAGTTGCAGTCTTTTTCACAAACACACCTCAGATCGGTCATATTACAACTCTGACAAGCATTTAAAAACATGGCACAATCACATGGAAGAAGAACATGATCATAAGGGAGTGACATCAAAGGCAGTTTAACAAAATATTGTCTTTAGAGGAAGATAAATCTTTATATATATATATATAAGGATAAAATAAAATCTCACCTCTGAAGACTCAGGGTTGTGTTTGGAGATCTCTAAAGTGTTGCATAGTTGAGGGAACAGAAATGGAGGGAATCTTCACTGAAAAAGTCAAACGTTTCATGCAGACAGAAAAGGGGCTAAATACTTTTAASGGGGCTGTTTTCATCAAACTCAACCCGACCAAACCACCCAGACGTCGTGTCGCCTTGACGTCCGATGCTTTCAAACCCTGACGTTTTATTAGCATATGATCTGTGCAAATACAATTCAGAAGAAAATCCACAGCAATCCTATATTTAAAAAATCTCAAAAGCAAGTTTACCAACATGTGAGGGGGGTAAGAAAACAAAAAAAAGAAAGCTTATTTCCGGAATCTCCCAGATTGTACCTCTTTAAAAAGTGCCACTCATTGTTCATCATTAAGAGTAAAATAAGAAAATATACTCTTGGCAGGCAAACAAAGTCTCCATTTAGCTTAAAAATACTGTCTTTCTAGCCTTTGAAATATTAAAGCTCCTGTCGTTAAACTTTAAGAACATCTCTCCTGCTCTTCCTCCTCAGACTTCTTCTCTTCCTTATCCGAGCCGACTCCTCGGGTCCTTGTCCAAGTGTCTGGGTGACGAAAGCTGAAAACTTTCCTATATGCAAACCAAGAAGTGGCAACTTTCTCAGTGAGGCTTCAAAGGTGTCTTAATTTAAGCATTTTAAAACCAGACATTAAAACCAAGAAAGCAAATGGGGAGCTCAGAGAACCGCGCCCAGTCTTTGCTGTTCGTTCGGACATCACAAGCTCCGCCCCGCGAGCACAGATATGCACTTTTCTTCTGCTTTCATCGCATCCATACATTCATTAGTCTTCAATCCCGTGTGCTCACCACCAGCTGTCAATTTGAGAAATTTGGGAGTTCCTTATTTTTTTAAATATCTTTTTTTCTCCAGGTCTTAAAACTTCAAAATTCTCAACCCAAGTTGGTGTTCCTTTTCCCCCCCATTCTTCAGTAGAGCCTGCAGACAATCACATTTCTGATAAAAAGAAAGGAGAGGCCTGAAAGCCACGGTGGTCACCGGAACTCGTAGATGGCTGCGCTGTGCTCGGGAACGTGGGTGAGATTTAACGACTGGTACCTGCAGACCAACAACACAAATTAAATTCAACTTTTTTTTTTCCTGCAAAAAAGTATATGTTGTGTTTTTAAGAACTGGCCTGTGCTGGGATCAAAACTACCATCAACTTGACAAGAACTTCACATAAATCAACAACGTGGGTGGTAATTATAGTTATTATAGACAGTATGGGGCTCAGATCAAGACACAMGAGAACTCCTAGCTGGACCCAGATCAGTTAAGTTTCAAATGAACTAAAATTTTTGTTTGTTTTCKAGCATTTACTGTAATTAATTTGAGYGTTTTAGATTATATGGGTTAGTTGTTTCTGTCTGTGAGCACAACAAGAAAGAAACTACACTCACAGTAAATGTGATCTGTACGGCTGCCACCAACAGAAAGATGTTCAGAGAGGAGTTAGAAAGTGTTGTTTTTTTTTTCATTCTGGATGGACTCTTCCTGTTGGGGGTTTAAAACTCATCTACCATCTTTAAACTGAAATTATTTGAGTAACTATCTCATAAAATTTGACCAGACAGCAAAGAAAAATAAATGATCTATAAATCCACTCTGTCAGATCCACTCATTGACTAGACAGCAGCAAACCTTGATAACACAAACAGAATCACATAGAAATCCATCACAAATCAAGGAGTGTCAGTGTAACAGAGTGTTAGGGCCAAATGACAAGAATTTWGTTTTGTTTTTTTTAAATTATGAGAAATTAGTCATAATAATACAGGAATAAAGTCAAAGTATTACAAAAATAAAGTTTAAATAATAGAAGAAAAATGTTGTAGTATAACAGGAATAAAGTAACAGAATTACGTAAATAAAGTCACAGTTTGATGAGAATAAAGAATTACGGGAATAAAGTGGTAGAAGAAAAGTCATAGTATTACATGAATTAAGTCAAACAAGCATAAAGTCAAMATATTATGAGAATAAAGTCAAAATACTACAAGAGCACAGTCATAGTATTAAGATTAAAATGTCATACAAAAATAAAGTCGTAATATTACAAGAAGAAAATCCTATTATTATGAGAATAAAGCTGAAAAGAGAATAAAGTCTTATGAGAGGAAAGTCGAAATGATATCAGAATAAAATTATACCATGACAAGAAAAATGTCATTCAAGAACAAAGTCTAAATAATATGAAAATAAATTCAACATTACGAAAATGAAGTCATATGAGAATAAAGTCATAATAATATAAGAATAAACTCAGTGTTAGGAGCAAATTGTCATATGAAAATGACGTCATAATAAGTAAAAGTAGAAAACAGGAGTGATTAATGTTGTACTGTACATCATATATATAAAAATATTAATTTAATCAGGTTAGCACATTAATGATGCAGATGGATGTATTTTTTTTTACATTACATAGATCTTTATATAGAATTCTTTGCGAGTGCAAATAGCATCAAAAACAGCTAGCTGTAGCACTTCCCGCAGGAACATAAAAGCTCTGCCAGAATAAATGTGAAATATAAAACTGACCAAACTGTAAAGATYTGAATAACAACCTTTGAGGGATAGAAGCTGTTTTTTAAAAACATGTTAATCTATTTGATCTTAGCGGGGCTGAGATTTGCCAGTGGCTCACAAAACTGGTCTGAATTAAATTCTACTTCTTCAAACAGAAGAAAGAGATATCTAAAAYAGGTAAGATATTAACTGTTCCACTGAATCCCCTTTTCAAAATATCTGACCTATTCGTCAGGGTCGTATCAAAGTTCTGTTACCATTCAGAGCTCCTGTGGTAGTAGTAGCCCTCGATTGTTGCTGTAGATTTCTGGAAGCAGATGTAATAAAATCCAGCAAAGGAAGCGCCACTGATGTCTTTGATTGTGTGGTCTGGAACCAGAAACTGCTCCTGGACGGGGCAGGGGTGTGAAACACCACCACCAGATTAACGACAACTTCTTTATACAAGCAGAACTGTGTGCTAAAATCCAGGTTAGCTTCTTACCTTCCACCTCATGAAAATATAATCAGAGTTCTTCAGGTCTTCGTAGTCAAACTCATCAGAGTTAAACGTCTTTGCATACTGGTAAAACGCCTGGAACTTGCCCTTAATCCACAAACATTAAAATGATACAATTAGCCTACTTAATAGAGGAGGACGACTTTAGCGYAGCGGGAGAAACGTTTAACTTACCCAGTGCTTCCGATCGACGTCCTCATCTGCGTCCCACTTTCGAGTGAGAAACGGCCGCTTCCTGCTGATGATCTCTCCAGCAAAGAACGTTGTCAACGTCGGATATTCCTGGAATAATAAGCTCATTAGGACTTTTCGACAAAAAGAGCATCATAGCCAAAACTGAATACATTTGATAGGTTACCTTTCAATTGTATTACATTTTTATTACTTAAAAAATTTGAAGATGTTAATATGTGTGCTGACTTTAAGCACTGATTGTATTGTTCCCTTTCTTGATGTTATTATCTCTGTTTGGTCTCCTTTTTGTTCCAAGTGTGGTATTTTTTTATCCTTTATCCCTTATTACTTTCTAAGTATCCTTTAAATGTGTKTTCGTTTTCATCTGCTTGTCTCTTGGCATTCAGCGTGGTCGGCAAAGTAAGAATTTCATCGCTCAGGTAAACATGTTTCTTCTGTGTTTATGACAATAAACACTTTGAATCTTGATATTCAGATTATTCACTATGATCGTTGTTTAATTAGTAATGGAGATAGCTTTAATCTGAAGTGTTTATGATTTCATATTTACGATCATAGAAGAATTTTTAATACATCTAAACAACCAAACACCACCATATTCATTTATTAGTTAAAAACGTAAATAAGGAAACATGAAATTGAAGTAGAAGAAAAAAAAACATTACAAAAGGTAATTCTCAACAAACTTGTAAATTTAGAAGTTTGTCTTAAATGTCATTAAAATGTGTCCATGCCTGTAGATGTTAAAATTCATCTACAGATTAGGTTTGTTGACATTTTGTCAGCAGCTGCTGCCATTTTCTCCCCAAACTGCTGTGACCAGATTTTGCAAGGCTGCTCGGTGCGTTTGTTTGTAATTTCCTCCTGCTTCGTTATTTCTACGAGTTTCAACAAATCACATTGCCGTCAGGTGGTTAGCTACAGCCTCGTCTTCGAGTTTTTAATTTTTGTTGATGCGTTTTGAAGAGACAATTTTTTGAAAAGAGGATCAAAGTAAATCACCAGTTTTTCTAGTGACCCCTTAAAGAGATAAGCTGCCATGAAGAACATTATTTTACCTGCTCTTGTTCCAAATTTGATAATGATTTGAAACGTGGAAATATGTTTTTTTTTAATCCGGAATAGCGCTTGTTTCAAAGTGTTTTGATGCTCGTCTTCATCACGACACATTTAACACGCTGTCATTGRTTGAGGAGCTTTTTTTACAAAACAGATGTCCACATGGTTTTTAAATTGTTTTAATTTCCTTACTTTCTAAGACACATTAAGTTGATGTGATGCTACAGTTTGCCTTGTAATTAGGGTTGGGCAATATTGGCAAAAAAATTAATCACGACTAATTGTGGTATTTAGCCGATAACGATTAATTTGACGATTAATCCCCTGAAGTGCCTGGACACCTTTATGTTCAAGTCACATGACCAATTTAGCAGGAAAGATTTGCTCTTCGTAAAAATCTGTTCCAAATTTTGTCAAAATTACAGACGTCAGGCTATACATCTAATTTTAAATTGTGTTGATAGATAAATAAATTACAGAACTTTTTTATGTTTGTCATATTTGAAGCAGAGAGGAGCAAAACTACTAAATCTCCAGTCAGTCTGCCTGGTGGCATTAATTGTATTAATCATCAAGTGCCAAAAAATAATCGATTAATGTTTTTCTGACGATTAATCGCACACGATACGTTTATGCCCAACCCTACTTGTAATATTATTTTATACCTTTTCTGCTATTATTARGTTTTATTAGTTTTTTAGGATACAAGATGCTTCCTACAAAAACCAGAATGGGAATCTTTTCCTAAAATTTCCAGGCGATATCTTGAACACTGAGGAAGTTACGAGCAAAAACAGAAAACAGCAAGGTGAAATGGTCACAAAGGCCCCATTGGAGCTGATTTCACCTAAACAAACATCAATAACTTCCCTCATACTTCAGATAATCACATGATTTTGGTGATATTTTGTGTGGTTTGAAATGTTCTTTGGAATCTGCTGTCAGATTTAATATTGGTGTAGGATTAAAAATTTATCCACATCCCTATAGATGAATCAAAAATCCTGTTTTCTGTCTACATGAAAATAAATAAATAAATAAATAAATAAATAAATTATCAGTACCAACATTCATCAACACAGCCATTACTACTCACTTCTGTCAATCCTTTTATCTTCAGGTAGCCACATAAATAGGAATCTTCCATTGTGACATGCTTTGACAAAAAAACAAACAAAAAGCAGACTTTAATTGTTTATCAATGATCATGTGAATCCTGTGATGTTTCAGCATTTTTATATTTCATCAAAACATGTAAATAAACGAAACCTGCCTATTTGTGTTGATTACAAAACATGTTGAATATAATCGATRATAGGACCCCTTACAGTATTTGTGACCTTAGCTAAATCATCAGCTCTAATTAAAACATTAATTACAGTGTGTTGGGACAGATTGTTCAGCTGTCAGTCATCATCCCAAGGCCAGTTTTGACACATCACAAAATGTCAAATAAAACAACATTAAAGCCGCTTCACTTACTCACCTGCAAAACAACCTCCACATCGTAGGAGTTCCCTTTGCTTTTCTGGTGACCCCTGAACTTGGAGCCGCTGTACAGGAGCGACGTGACAACACCAGGCTGCTGGGTGTTTATCGGTGGAGGCGGGATAAGAGAGGCCGAGGATGTGAAGGCCGCTGCGGTGGAGTCGCTAAGGTGTCCAGCGGGGACGGGCATGGCTCCCGCTTCGCTGGCTGGCCACCAACCGCCGGTAAACGATTTGTGTTGGCTGCTGCAGACAGCTAAAAAAAAAGTACTATCTGGGTTCGAAAATACTCAAGTTCCAGTGAATTCCCCACAGCTACAGTTTACCCAAGTGCCCGAGAAGCGTAGACTTCAACGTGACGTTCCGACGCCACAAGGAGTATCCGCTTCTCTCATTGGTCAAAGGAGTTCATCATGCCAACATTCTAAAAGCTCATTGGTTGAACTTGCGGAAATGTTTACGTGACCGTTTGGGTGTAGTTTCTTTCCTCTTGTGTAAGCCCATGTGGAAGGACRCAAAAACTACATTTCCCGTTACGTAAAGCACTTTACGACACTGTCTACTGTCGAAGGTCACGCGTGCTTTTGAACTCACGAGCTTCTCCTGTGTACTACTAGATGAAAAGGAAGGGAGACAAAAAGCAAAAACAAGTACAGCGACTTTCAGTAGTTGCAGCTTCTAAACAAAGAGCACGTTTTAAAATGCTGCGCCTTTTTCAGTAAATATCGGTTACAAACAGAAACCCTAAACAGCTTCAATTAAGGCTTCATCTTCATCTATTTTGCGCTATCATGTTTACTACAAGTATTAGACTTCGGAGTGCTATTTCACTTTTTAAAGTGTGCCCGAAGCGAAAGAACACCGGGTCTCTGATGAAATATTCCACCGCCTCATCAGGTAAGATAAGCAATAATAACAATTTCATCAGCAGACGAGGAAAGATGTGTTATTTAATGTGATGTGCTGTTTTTCAGAGAGGAAGAGGTTTTATCAAGATGTCAGCGTATCCCAAGGAGAGGGTAAGCCTAAAATACAAGTGTAATATTTCCGTGTTGGAGAGCATTTTGATTCMTAGATGTTATTTATGTAACCTGCTTTAACAAAGATATTTATGTCTTTTCAACTGAATGCGTCATGTTTGTGTTATATTTTCTGCTTGGTGTCTTAAACAACAACAAACGTTCAGTGATAGTAATAAGAATTTGATGCAGGTGGTTTGTATGAGATAAACCTGGACCGCAGGAAACTGAAAACTCCAGGTGGGAAGCTGTTCTCAGTGCCCAATGAAGCCCTGGCTATCGCCGTGGCAACAGAGTGGGATGCTCAAAGGGATTCACTCAAGTTCTACACGATGCATATGGTATTTCATTTCATGTATTACACAGTAATGATAAAGCATTTTTGTTGTCCTTGCAGTAAAACTGTATTTTGAGTTGTTTGAGATTTACTCAACCATTACTACTTGAAAACCATAGTAGCCCACAGAGCTCATTTAACATTGCACTTCTAAGACAGCTTTCATGTGGTTCAACTGTACACGTTTTGGTTTTTTTTTTTTTGGGTCAGATTGTGTGACTAAAATTTGACTTGACAGAACTGATAAAGCTGGTAAACTCTTCCTGCAGACCACCCTGTGCAACACGGCTCTGGATAATCCCACTCAGCGCAACAAGGACGAAATGATTAATGCTGCTCTGAAGTTTCTGGAAACAGACACGATTTGGTATTACATATAATTACATTTATTCATATTCAGTAAAGACAGTTATTTTAGTAGATTATTAAACTTTCCTAAACAGCTGAAATAATTTATGTTAACTAATGCTTCAGTGGGAATTTGTGATCATTGAAAAAGACAAGATTTTCTATGTTCCAACACTATGTCAGTAAAACAAAATCGTATGATTAGTTTGATGGTTTGAATACCTAATATAATAATATAATAATATATAATAATAATAATATATAATAATAATAATAATAGTATATATATACAGTGGGTAAAATAAGTATCGAACACGTCACCATTTTTCTCAGTAAATATATTACTAGAGGTGCTAATGACATGAAATTTTCACCAGATGTCGGTAACAACCCAAGTGATCCATACATACAAAGAAATCAAACCATAAATGTCCAGAAATGAAGTTATTTGTAATAATGTGGAATGGCACAGGGAAAAAGTATTGAACACACTTACTGAAATTTATCTAATACTTTGTACAAAAGCCTTTGTTGTCAATGACAGCTTCAAGACGCCTCCTGTATGGAGAAACTAGTGGCATGCATTGCTCAGGTGTGATTTTGGCCCATTCTTCCACAAACAGTCTTCAAATCTTGAAGGTTTCGTGGACCTCTTCTATGAACTCTGATCTTTAGTTCTTTCCATAGATTTTCTGTTGGATTCAGGTCAGGTGATTGGCTGGGCCATTCCAGCAGCTTTAGTTTCTTTCTCTGAAACCAACTGAGAGTTTCCTTGGCTTTGTGTTTGGGCTCATTGTCTTGCTGAAATGTCCAGCCACGTTTCATCTTCATCATCCTGGTAGATGGAAGCAGATTTTTATCAAGAATGTCTCTGTACATTTTTCCACTCATCCTTCCTTCAATTATTTGAAGTTTGCCAGTACCATATGCTGAAAAACAGCCCCACACCATGATGTTCCCACCTCCAAACTTCACTGTTGGAATGGTGTTTTTGGGCTGATGTGCAGTGCCATTTGACCTCCAAACATGATGTGTATTCTGGCATCCAAACAGTTCAATGTTGGTCTCATCTGACCAGACTATATTCTCCCAGTATTACACAGGCTTGTTTAAATGTTGTGCAGCAAACTTTAAAGGAGCTTCAACATGCTGTTTCTTCAGCAATGGAGTCTTGCGTGGTGAGCGTGCATACAGGCCATGGTGGTTGAGTGCATTACTTATTGTTTTCTTTGAAACAAACGTACCTGCTAATTCCAGGTCTTTCTGAAGCTCTCCACAAGTGGTCCTTGGCTCTTGGACAACTCTTCTGATAATTCTTTTCACTCCTCTGTCAGAAATCTTGTGAGGAGCACCTGGTCGTGGTCGGTTTATGGTGAAATAATGTTCTTTCCACTTCTGAATTATGGCCCCAACAGTGCTCACTGGAACCTTCAGAAGTTTAGACATTCTTCTGTAACCGATRCCATCATTATGCTTTGCAACAATAAGGTTGTGAAGGTCTTGAGAGAGCTCTTTACTTTTACCCATCATCAGATGGTTCTTGTGTGATACCTGGCCATCATTTGGGACTGAACCAGCTGATATTAACTTGCACTGACAAGGGGCAGGCTTGCTTTCTAATTACTGAGAGAGTTCAGCTGGTGTCTTGGCTTTCCATGCCTTTTTACACCTCCCTTTCTTCATGTGTTCAATACTTTTTCCCTGTGCCATTCCACATTATTACAAATAACTTCATTTCTGGACATTTATGGTTTGATTTCTTTGTATGTATGGATCACTTGGGTTGTTACCGACATCTGGTGAAATATTTCATGTCATTAGCACCTCTAGTAATATATTTACTGAGAAAAATGGTGACGTGTTCGATACTTATTTTACCCGCTCTATATGTATACATTATTTTATTGTATTTTATTTTATTTTTGTATATGAACAAGCTTGTTGAAGTAGGAATAAACATGTTGTTGTCATTGTTTGCTGCGCTACAGTGTTTGGTATATATTTTTGTACAGTTACAGAGTAGAGGAACCTCCTGGTTTGGTCGAGCTCCAGAAGAATGAGTGGGACCCTGTGCTGCACTGGATTGAAAAGAGGTCACAGAAAAATTAACTTGTGTTAGAAATCGTAACGATGCCAGCAAAGGCAGTAGATTAAATAGATCTCTCTTTATCATTGTGGCAGATACAACGTCACTATTGGGTCTTCATCCAGCATTTTGGGTCCTGACATTCCAGAGGCAACCAAAGACACATTCAGGCAGCATCTCAGTTCATATAACCTCTGGTCCCTGACAGGTAAAACATCCAGACTTCAACATTTAAATACTATTTTAAAAAGGAATTTGATGTATTTATTTATTTATTATCTGCCAAACTGCTTGTGGTAACTTCAAACATATAGTTTAGATCTTTGAAGTAGGGTTCTATGGAGCAGTTAAAAGCTATTTATACATTTCCAATTGTAGGTAGTGCTTTCATTGACCTCAGTTTTGGAGAGAGAATGACAGGATTCATGAGTGAATGCCTAGACTTAGCCTGGTAAAAACCAGACCCTCATCCTTCACTTTGCTTCGTACGAGGGTCTGGACTCGCGGCTATAGAGGAGCAATTCTTGCTGGAGGTGTGGCCTCTGCTGAAGTTTAAAATGATTGGATCAGTTGGCTGCTACGTATGTCGCTGTGAAGAAGGCTAAGCTAAGAAGCTAACCGGAAATTGCGTGCGCTGTAAACAACCCTACTGAGAGGAGAGAAGTACCGAGTCGAACCAGACGGCTGTAAATGAGAGCTGCTGCTTTGTTAGACAAATTTAACTTAATTTGGAAGCCTTATCAACACAGACTGGYGTCATTCACTTCCTCCACTGCCGTATGCTAAAATAACTAGCAGACACTGCGCAGAACATCGACATATTCAAAACTCCACCTTCTGTTTGCTGATTGGCCCAGGTAAAATAAACTATAAGCAGACACTGCGCAGAAAATCGACACTCTCTTCTCTGATTGGCCCGGCTAAAAATCTGCCAGTGAAATCCATCTCAATGGGAGAAGTCCCAGATGGAGCAGAGAAGGGAAACTAGAACTGAGCGGAGCTGCGTAGGAAGGCAAGGTCCAGGCTAACAGACCCTTGATTTGAACTAAATTCGAGAGATAATTATGGACAAATAAAGTGGGCGTTGCCTACTGTTTTAAACAAAAATTCTCACAAAATCAGTTATGGAGCTTAAACCGTCAGAGATTTTGAGAAGTTTTTCACAGCAAAAATAATGCACACTGACTTTTATATATTACTAAAAAACTACATGAGTCCACCAATAGGTGGCGCTAGTGTGATGTGTGAAACATTTTGATCTGTAACTCCTGTATACTTAGCCCAGTCATTAAAATCACTGTGGCCACTCAATCATTCATTTGTACTGTATTTTTGATTAAATATGCCAATTTGCATAAACAGCAATACATTTTTTTAACAAACTAATAATATGCTAATCCTTTAAAAGCTATCTCCTCCAAAGCTGCAACTCCAATAAGCATGAAACTTCTCATGTAGCACCTGGAGTAGTGGCTCTAAAAACACAGTGGAGGAAAAGTTGTTTGGTTTTTGTTTGACTGAGTTACCTTTATCTTTATACAAAGCTAGCTCGTTAGCATTAACAAAAATGACAGTTTTTTACGGATGTTAACACTTGTTCACATCAAACTCATATCATACATCAAATGACTTTTTCTAAGGAAGTATTTAAAATATATCAACCAAACTCTAGGAGGGGTCTAAAAATCAGAAATGCTAATGCAAATTACTACCAAATCTGCTACACTTGCTTAGGACCACAAACTGAAAAACTGAAAAAAAAGGACCACAGACTGAG